CCATTAGCATAGTAAGCAACATCTTAATTGTTTGAAAGTGAAGGTAGTACAATTAAATGTACTGTATAAGCACAGAACAATAACAAAAACATTAGTATTATCATTAAATTAACAGCTTATAGTGAAATTGAATTTCATAAAGTTAGTTTACTATTGACTCAAACTTTCAAAGCATAGCATAAGGGGATTGCAATTACTAAAAATGGGGGAGCAGGTATTTTCTGAGCCAATTTTTAAAGGCAAATTTTACATTAAAACTTGTAATCAAAACCACCTATAACTGTCACATTACTTATATATACGGTAGCCTGTCTAAATAATAAATTTTGTGAAAAATCTCTCGTAACCTCAGTTCAAAAGTATTCCTTTATTTTAAAAAATAACAAGATTAAAAGAAGGTAAAAGTACTAATTAATCCAGTCCTGCTAGCTATGGTTTAGTCTCAGAGATAGCTATTGCGTCAACTTTAAAGTAAAGACAGTTCCTCCTGTCATACAATGGACAAAAATCACAGTGAGGAACAAAATGAGACACTCCCCATTCCCCACACATTCTAGTCTCAGTCAAAAAGTTACACTCTTCAGGTGTAAAACTATTATACATGATAACAATTTCAAAAAAATGTAGGGAAAAGTACACAAAGAAAAAAAAGATAGGGGACTATGCTAATCATAAACTAATAACAATATGAATTACAAACAATATCAAACACTTGTCAACTGTATTGCTTATGATAGGATGCAAGCAATGGCTCTCTCACTTCGTCATACGTTTCAAAAAATGAGCCACTTAAATTTACCCGAGACCTTGATGCTGATTCTTGATTCTGTTGGCGCTGGCGAGGCCAACGCTTCCCAAACCTGATCCTTATTTTGTCCATTAAATCAGTCACCCACAGAAAATGGAGGAATATCACAACGGCAAAGCAAAAAGTGAGAACAGAATAAATGATGGAGAGAATAGTTATGAGACTGTGCTCGTTCTGAATCTTGAGAAAATACCAACCGGAACCGTATAAAATTGAGAGCAAAGACAGGAGAGCAAAATTAAGTATATTCAGTGACAGTCTTTTGTAAGGTCTGCACAATCCCTCCAGTCCAGTGTAAGTGACAAGTATTGGAGAAGCTATTGCAATCCCCAAAAACAAGTCATTCCCTCTGTACGTGACATATATCATGTACATTGTAAATACAAGCAGAAGTCTTAAGAG